TGAGCTGCTCTCTCCCCCTCTAGCAGGGTCTCTACCCCAGCCTTCTCTGACGCTTCTCCCAACCATCAGCCCAGCTGGGGAAAAGCCAAAGGGTTACGCCTTCCCCCTGGCCCGACTGCTTTGCAGCTACCCAGCAGGCTGCTGAAACTGTTGCTCGGCAGGGCCTTTGGCGGCACCAACATTTTGTTTTGTTTTTTCCTTTTCTGGAGTGTAATAGCGCTAATTGCCTTTCCTTGGGGTCCAGGCATTCAAACGATCTTGGCCAGGATCCAAAGAGCTCATTGAGTTGCCCCCAAAGGGTTTGAGATTTTCATTTGGCTTTGAGAAGCCCAACTCCCCTCTTCTCCCCCAAATGTCTTCCAAGAATTGCATGGGTGTGGGTGTGTTATTTGACAAACACAACCTTCCTCTGGGAATTCTGACAAAGCCGACCAGTTTTTTTTTTAAATTCTACTAAAATAATTCTCCATCTAACTGGGTGCAAAACTGCATGGGATTTAGAAGGGGGACTTCTAGAGACACACCTTCTAACACTGTTTCCATGGGAGATTTATGTCCACGCTTACGTTCCCCTCAATTTGGGAAGTTACATTTTATAAGTACTTTGGTCTGGTTATTCACTGTAGAATTTAAAAGGCAATCTCGTTTGCAATTTCTTAACATCTTTCTTCACTGACTTGCTTGTTATTTTATGATACTTTAAAAAAAACCTTGAGGATTGATAAGAGAAGGGAATAAAATTTGGAATATGCAAATACTTCCAAAAAAGCCGGAAATTTTTTTTGGAAATTAATGGGGGAACAGCTATGCAGCAATTACCCTCCTTCTTTGCTATGCCACTCTTGGTATGTAACTTTGGGGTGCTCTGCACAGGTCCCATCATCCCCAGCCAGCCTGGTGCAGGGATAATGGGAACTGAAATCCGGCATACCTCCAAATTGAGATAGCAAGTCTGGGAAGACAGACGACCAGAAGAGGCCACGGCTAATTCCACAAAACCCAGCTTCCCAGCCTTAACAGGCAAGCCTAAAACACAGAAACACCCCCATTCAAGGTGCCACTCCCAGCACTTAAAAAGATTACCTTTTTGAGGATGATGTCAATGTAACCTGCAATGAGCTGAGAAATCTGCTCGCCTTCAGTAGTTTGGACGGAGTAGTAGCTTTCTTGGTATTCACCGAAATCCTATGGAAATAACGTGGTGATTGCCTGGTCTTTATGAACCCCGTTTCCCAGGGAGAAACAGAAGCCAGGGAGGAACTATCCCCAGGCTGTACCAGAAAGTCCGTGGAAGAGAGGAAAGAAATTCCAGACTGAAGGCCAGCTTTGCTTTTATTCATGGGCGCCTTCTATTGAGTTAGACAACCCCCCCTTGGGCTTCCGAAGGCTAACCTAATATTGAGACCAGGAGGCTGACGCTTCTCTCAGAGAAGAGAAAATCTCCCTTTCTTGTTACTCGCAAAGGGGCAGGTTGATGGGACTAGGATAAACCTCAAGGGAACAGCATCTGCCCCTCACACGAAAGCCCCCAGGTTCCCCTCTTGACTCCTCTGGACGGGAGGATCAGGTTTGCAGGCAGTGAGAGACCGCCAGAGCTTTATCAGGTTGACTGCGGGATCCTGATCACCAAAAGGAGGAATTTCTCTCAACGCCAAGCTTGAGAATCCCCCTGAACCTTCTGTCCAAAGGAGATCCATCGGCTGAGTGGATTCTCCTCCTCCTATGAAAAGGGCCCTCTTTCCATTCGCAGGAATGCCTTACCAGAGTGAAGCTTTTTGGCGAGGCTGCCCAGCGCTTGACGGTCGTCAGTGGCCACTCCTGCAGGACCTCCTTCGTCTTTTCGTCCACGCGCATCACCGACTCCTTGGTGATCCCCAGCAAGCGAGGGACCAGCTTGTTCTTCCCCTTCATTTTTTCCTGGTTTGGGGAAAGAACCACATGTTTCAATTTTTTTACTTCTGCCTTGAGGCTGCCAGCCAAAGGCTTTTAAGAAGGTGGTGTCTGACTTTGGGCCTTCCAAAAATGAATCTGAACAGGAAGAGCTTACGGAAGAGTTGTGGAGCCCAAGGGATCACAAGCTAAAAATCCAAGATTTGTGGTGGGGAAAAAAGACAAGTGGCCCCACCAGTTTTGAATTTGTTTGAACAGCTGCCTTAGAATAAATATTTTGGACATACTCAAGGCGTCTCCCCTTGCTATTTAATCTTGCTGATGCAAAACAGCCTGGTTAGTTATCAGAACTCATCATCCATTCTGTTCTAGTCTGTAAAAAACACTTGTGGCATTTACACATTCCAAATTTTAGAGTACTGTAGGTCTAAAAGGATGTGGATCCTGATATTCATTTAATACTGAACCCATTTACCCTTATGTTGGGCCAAACCATGTTCTTCTATGGAGCATCTTGAACTCTGGGGTAGCTTGCTCTCTCTCTCTCTCTCTCTCACACACACACACACACACACAGAGAGAGAGAGAGAGAGAGAGAGAGAGAGAGAGAGAGAGAGAGAGAGAGAGAGAGAGAGAGAGAGAGAGAGAGAGAGAGAGAGAGAGAGAGAGAGAGAGAGAGAGGAATGCATTCTAGATCTTAATTTCATCACTGTAACTTTATGCTGCTTTGATCTGCCATGTTTCCCACTGCACTGTTATCTCACTCTGCATTTTTACTGCTCTATTCCTAAGCTAACCTGAAAATGCTCTTATTGAAATTCTTCATCTAAATCCTGAAGATGACTAAGCAAACGTCCGAGGCCTCAATCCAGTTTTTAGTTCCAACTAGAGTAGATTTTTGGAGTCAACAACAACTTGGCATGTCCATGCTCATGTAAACTCTGCCAGTTCAATGGCTCTTTTCTAGTTGGGTCTTCCAATTGGCTTTAGACCTAAATGTTTATGACAATGTCCAAAAACACAAAGTCTACATTTTTAATTTTTTTTGCAACACAAGAAAGAATTTATGATTTGTTTCATTTCACTCAGGCTCTTCCCTAGGAGATCATGGTGGTCCCCACATGCTTTTCTATTCAATACTATTTTGTCAGCATTCCTAAGGTTATCCAGAAAGCTGAATAGATGAATGGGATTTGAACGACTATCCTAGCTTATCCAGAGCATTACACTGACAAGCATAAAGCTATGCAACCGTGTATCTGATGGTGCAACTCTCAGGGAGTCTCGCCAGACTCTTTATAACTCAAGAACGATGTACCTTAGGGTTGCTTCTTACTGTGTCCAAGTTATCCTAATTGATGGAGTACAGAGAGGGAAAGAGAGGTTACTTACCTGTAACCAGAGTTCTACGAGCATGCACGCCACGGGGGAATGTCCTACTAATAAAATGTTTTTAAGCTCTAGAATATTCCAAGGAGTCCTGCGCAGGCACAGTCTAAAGCCATTCACAGAGGCCATGAAGAAGAACGCTTGTTTCCCACCAGAAACTTTGCTTAATGCAGGTATCACAGCTAGACGTTTCACTTTAAGGGTTTTGATGTGACTTAATTGCACATTGCTTTAATCAGTACTTTTGAGACATGTAATCTACATTTTAAAGTTAAAAGACCCCAGCTTGCCACTGGAGTTAAATAACGATCAGAGTAATTGTATTGTGATTGGTATGGGGTGTTGCCAGTTTGAAGCCACCCAGCAGCAGAACTTTTTAAGTCCTCTTGGTATTTGGCAAATGATTAAGTTGTATCACTTAGCCCTCTAGGAGAGCCATTTTGTCCTTGATGAACAAATCATTTCCCTTGCAGGGTGGCGAACCTCCTTGCAAATAATGCCGGGAGCTGACTGGCAAAGAAGCATCGGAACTCTTCAAGAACAGAATTCATTTTCAGCAAAGAACATTCCTTCAACAAGCATGAGATAGTAGGGGGTGAACTGAGTTTTCCAGCAGCCCCTGAGATGTGGGTTTAAGAGTCTGCACCATTTAGAGAGACAGGGATACAACCATAGACCATGGCTGGTCATTAGCTGGTATTAATTAATAGCAGAGGGAAAGATATAAACTGTTGCCCTTGCTCTGACTTGGCTTCATAGTGATGCCATGGAGCAAAATGCATCTGTGATCACGAAGGCTTCCAAAGTCAAGTCAGAGCGAGCGAACCTGGCAAGCAGGAAAGTGACAATTATATCTTTTATACAAACAAGGAAGCGTGTTTTTAAAGGATTCTACTCTATTACTTTTTTAAAACAAACTCCCTTGGGTTTGCTCGATCAGATTTCTATCCATTGTACGCCTGGAAGGGAGGGGCCGAGGAATTCGCACAGGGATCTCAGTCTTCTGAACAAGTTTCATGCTGGCTGCGTTTTAAGTGGCAGACTGAGAGTTTGTGGGTTTTTAAGTTCTCGCCAGAAGCTGAAGTTCTCTGACCTGGAAAAATCCTGGGTCAGGTCCTCGCACAGCCAAGCCTTCCATAAGAAGCAACAAACAATGGAATTTAGTCGTTAATCCCGTCACGGCTAAAATTCGCTCCTTACCTTAACAAGGAAAAAGGAGACCCCGTAGGTTCTCAGAGAGCGGGCCAACTTCACGTACTTCACCTTGGCCTCGATTTCCGTCATTTCGCCACAGTTTTTGTGTTCCTGTAAAAACACACACACACATACACACAAATGATCATTCTGTAACCATTTTTAAGACCAATCAGCAGGGGGGAAAAGAAAGTCTCTTGTTTCCTATTGCTAAGTTTTGTTATCTTTTAAGCGTTTCCCCAAATGTTTTGAAACATACTCAACGAACCAACCCCATGTGGGAATTTGCATCTTCTATGGGAGAAACCATGATCCTCTTATGTTTCATTAACATTCATTAGGCCGTATGATCTAATTGTCCCAAGAGATCCCTGAGGTTGTGAGGTGACACATGATAAAAGTCAGTTGCTTTTCTGCTTCCCAAAGCATCCGAGGAAGGAGGAAAATGGAAGAGAGAGGGGGGGAAATAGCACAACGTCCACAAAATTGGACACCGTACGCCACATCTCCAACACCCTTGTCAAATATATGGTGCACAAAAGATTCCTGTGTGATTTGGCACATGTGGCAGAAAAACCTCGACCCCTTATTAGCAGTAGAAATATGTACAATATCGAAAGTTACAGTTTGGTTCCCTTTCTTAAGAGTCAAAAGCTGCTGGCCGAGAAGGGGCCACTGCACTCGGCCTAAAGATAGGGCTGGCCCCACGGTGGGAGGCTGGCACCTCTCTGCCAAGAGAGGCCAAGTGCAGTACGGATCGATTAACTCATTGCTTTGATTGGGCTTCTGTACTGCTTTTTTTTCTTGGGGCAGGCAGAACAAGACTGAAAACAGCATAAAACAATATTTTTTTGGGGGGGGGAGGGGACCCAAATGAGTCAAGAAAAAAAAAGCATGTATAGATAAAGAATGAAAAAAAATTAAAAGAGAAAACCAAACCTCATATCATGTTAGGCCAAAATTAAGTAAAGCGTTGCCCAAGGCTATTTGCCAGCCTCAATGCAAGAAGGCCCGCTGAGCAGGCTGCTGAAAGGTGAGTCCAGAGCCATGTAAAGTCCATAGATTCAATGGGTCTACTCTATTTGGGACTGCCATCTGGATTCAAGCCTATACTATTCAGAGGTGAAGGAAAAGCAAGTCCAAAACATATCCGTTTCGTTTTGCCTTAAAGTGCACCCTTATTTCCATTCACAGTGAATTTCTCAGCCGCTCAGTCGCAGGTGGCAAGGATCCGAGGAGAAGCCCCCGTCATTCCAGCTGATCTGATCGTATCCCTGGGAAAGTCTTCCACTCCCGAGCCCAGAAAAGTCCTCCTCGCAGGCAGCGCTGTCGTTTCCACAAAACCACACCAATGCTTTTTATAGACTTGGCGGCACACAACCGCCCCCTCCACACAGATGCTTGTTGTATACCTTTCCGAAGGAAGATGGCCCTCCCCGCAAGCTCCTGGAGGGGTCTTTCCCCCCCCCCCAGCCAGGTGCTTTTCTGTTCTAAGCTCCCATCACCTCCATCTACAAGAGCAGCAATTCCGCAACGGTTGTCACATTCCCCGAAAAGGAGGCTGGAGGAAAAGCTAGGCAAATGTCTCTTCCTTTCCTTCTCGTAGACAGGAAATGTTTCCCCCTCCACCAGCAGCTGGAGCAATAAAAGCTTTGACTGAATTGCTGTTTCTTTCTTGCAAACCTGCAAGTAAGAGTGTGTGTGTGTGTGTGTGTGTGTGTGTGTGTGTGTGTGTGTGTGAGAGAGAGAGAGAGAGAGAGAGAGAGCGTCCGTGTGCATGTCTTCATTAATCCTCAAGATCCTCCCAGGGATGTGCTACTTCCCTGTGCAATGACATTTCCTCAGCGCTGACAAGATTGCTCTCATCTGCGGCCGGCCCAATGGAAACAGACGTCGGGCATCTTCCCGGCTGCGCCTTCGCAAGGCGGCCAACATCAATGGCCGTCCGTCAGTGGCAGGCAATGAAAAGCAGGCCCAGCCGTGACCATCTGTGTGCTTCTAGCACCTCTTCCTGCCTTTCTCTCCAAGAGACCAAGGAACCTCAGCCTAGGCCCTCCAAAGGGGTGCTTAAGCTGCGCCTCGGCAGCACCGTTACAGACGTTGGGTGACTTCCTCCATGAATTTCTTGCTTTCCCATGGAAAATAATTCCCTGCCTATGGAAAGCCATTGGTTAAGGGTTCTAGGCTAGCTTTCTTCCTGCAGTTTGGTATATGCAGGGAATAGGCTCCAATGCAATGAGGGATCTGTGCTCATGCGAACCTTCTCCTCACAAGGAGGATGGAAAAAAAGTACGCATCCCCATGCATTAGGACTATATTGCCAGCATTTCTCAATATTAGCTCTGCTGGCTAGGGCTAATGGGAGATGTAGTCTAGTCGCATCTGGAGAGCTCACCTACAGACTGAAGCGGCAGTTTTCCCCAAACAGTGCCCTCCAGATGACTATCATTCTCATCATCCCCAGCAACCACATTCAGCAGGAAGTGCCTGGATGCAGAAATGAGAAATGTTTTTTTTTTTAAAAAAAACCCACCACTGTTAGATTCCCACTGGTATTTCATTTTAAATCCATCTTAATGTACAAGATGGATTGCCTGCTGGTATTTTAGCCTGTTCTTCTGTCTTTTATAGCTCGGGTTGCCACACTATGATTATCTTAGCTTGCAAACTGTTCTGTCTTGAAGTTTCTTTAAGGCCCAATTTTTAAAAAAGCACTAAAAAACAAACCCAACCAAGGAATCATGATAAACATGTACGTAATATGAAAAGCAAGCATAAATTTGCCGTCTGAATGGGGACCCTCCTCATTCAAAAACCTGGGAGCACTTTCCGTTTATACCACCAAAGCAGCCCTGCACCAGCAGCAGTAGACCGTTGGCTGAAATCCGAGACCGATCAACGCCTTAAAGGAAGCCACAGGCTTGAGCTTTGCAAGAGCTGAGCTGGTCAGAGGAGGACAAGACATGGTGGAGAGGGTTCATTCACAGGGTCGCCCTAAATCAGAGACAACCTGACTGCACGTAACAGCCGGAATGGTGCAAAGAGTAAACTGTCTCACTCTCAAGGAAGAAAAAGCGACAGACAACCCAAAGCAATGCCAACATCAACACCGAAGCCTATGAAGGAAACGCTCTCTTCAGAATCCAGCATCCAGGCTTAAGACCAGGAAAAAACTGGATACCCCAAAATACAAACTTGGGTCCCAAGCAAAGGAACCTCCCTCCTGTTTAGCTCTTTAACATCCTCAAACGAGAAGAGTTGCAAACGAAGATGATGGCTGAAGAGAACCTGGGCTCAAAGATCAGACGCTGTAGAACAGAACTCATTTCCTCACTTGGCCGATGAAGCCGGAAACCAGGGTGGGCTTTGCGTTGAACCCTAAGCCAGAGTCCCAGAGACAAACATTTTTTAAATGTATGCGGTTCGCTCTAGTACACAACCTCATCAAACCTGCACAACACCTGCTGCCCATGGAAGTCCTCCTCATCCCCTTGGAACTGCATGGCTGGAAGGGACCCTGTGGGTCATCCAGTCCAGCCCCTTTTCAAGGAGGCCCAGTGGGGGGGAATCGAACTCCGAACCTCTGGCTCTGTAGCCAGAGACCTAAAATCACTGAGCTATCTAGCACTTCTGAACCAACCACCAAATGACAGTGTCAGCCAGCCTTCCTCAACCTGGCACTCTCGTAGGGATTCAATGAGGCCTCCCAGGACTTCTGAACATGGGTCTTCCTGGTGGGGGTGGATGAGATCTGAAGTCCGCTACTCCTGGCTGAAGATGATTGGATTAACGTGACGCTGGTTGGGGTTTCTGAATCTTTGTCCATTCTGGAATCGCCAGCTGGAATCCTCAGTCGAGATGCCTTGCTGGGTTTCAATTCTTGGCAGGTATATTTGGTCCTGATGGCAGAAAGGGTGATCAGGCAGAACTGGCTTTTCCATCACGTTGGCTTTACCTTTGGGTTCAAATGCTCCTGGAGGCGATAATTGCTCTCACGGGGGTCTTAAAACCACAGAGGTGAGAGATGTCTAGCAAGGCTTTCGCTTCTGTTGCACCATCTTGCTTTGACCAAATATGAAAATGCCAGGGAGTCCATCCAGACCTATAAGGAAATCTCCTGAAGAGCAATAGGGTGGAACAGACCATCCTCTTGCATGGGAACTGCTAGATAGTGCAGTGATTTAGGTCTCTGACTATGGAGCCAGAAGATGGGTTTCCCCCTGGGCTTCTGCAGTTCCAAGATGACGATGATCTGGTATTGCTTCATCTACGTGGTACCTTCCAGATCACTCTTCTCCATATGCCTAGAAAAGAGGAGAACTCTTCCATATTTTCTGCAACAGTCATCCGCTTGTTGGGTCTCATACCCAAGCCGAGAGGAGATGGCGAACCAGGGGAAATTCTCAGTGGACGACAGGAGCTTCTTTCTCCCTCTAGAGCTTTGGCTTGCTCAAAATCTGACACTGAAACACGGGATTAAGATTCATGCTCTTCTGACTTTTCTAAAATCTCAATTTCGCCATCATTTTATTCAACGCCATGCCCATCATCCCTGGAGGCTCTGATTTCAAATGAAGGTTTTTCCGCCTTTACAGACATCAGATCCAACTTTCGTCCGATTGTGCGTTTTGGGATCTTAGAATTATCTTAAAACTCACCACCAGATAGGTTACCCAGCAGCTGACCCCCAACTCACCCACTGAAGATCAAAGCCGAGGTCTCAGAGCGCCGCTCCCATTTTCTCCATGGCCATGCTGGCTGGAGTCAATGGTATTCCCCCAATATCTAGAGCCGTATTTCCCAACCTGGGGTATCCAGATGTTCTTGGACTGAAACTCCCACAAGCCTTCACCACAAGCTGTGCTGGCCAGGATTTCTGGGAGTTGCAGTCCAAGAACATTTGGGGATGCCAGGTTGGGAAACACGGCTCTAGAGAGTACCAGGTATTGAGGCAGGCAACTAGGGAGATATCTAATTAAAATGGTATTCAGCATGCCACCAGAACACTACCAGCTGCAATGATGTTTTGCAATTACAGCACTTTATCTACAAAATAGTTAGCGCTCTACCACACAACGCTCTACAACAGTTCATGGAAATCGGCAGCACGCGGAATGCTGGGTATTAAGGCTTTAGCGACAAGACGAAACCAACATGACGGTACAAACAAAATGGACCACCAAAGCCCTTGCATAACCATGCATTTTCTCCCCTGAAAACGTGCTCCTTTTTGAATTTCATCTCACAGTCGGGAACTGTCAAACGTGCTCATTTCTGGAAGAAAATGCACCGAACAGCAGAAAAATCTCCCAAGCACACACAACGCTGGAATTACGAATAGCAAGTTTGCCAAAGGGGGGAAAGAAGAAGAGAGAAAGCCGTCTGCTTCTTTTACACTTGAGTTAGTGCTAGTTCATTGCTGAAGCAAAGGCACAGTGTTACGAAAGCAAAAAAATAAAAATAAAATAAAACGGAACACAACGTATCTACAGAAGGAGCAGTGGGATAGAAAAATCATCCCCTTAATTACCTGAAATATCCTCTTCTCAGCCCCTCTTTGCTTGATGTATTCTTTCGGAAGGAATTCTTTTAGACTGGAAGAAACAACAAACCACAATTAACGACGACGTGACTGCCTCTTCCTCAATTTTTTGCAGCATTAGAGTTTACAGACGGTGGATGCTGAGCATTGGGTTCATGTGATCCCTGGTACCTTTCAACTGAGGTGTTCCCTGATTGGCTAGCCACCACCCTCCCATTCAGGGGCACAACCAATCAAGAGACTCCACCTCAAAAACTTTCTTGGGTAGGGGAGCGAAGCAAGGATCCAACCAAGATTTGGCATGCCAGCTCCGCCCTATGCACCTGACCCCTGTCTCGTAAACCATGTGGATAAACCCATGGAAATAATTCAGTTCCTTGCCTCTCCAGCCCCACTCAAAATATCTGCCCAAAAAATTGCTTTGTCTCTTTCCATTCCAGCAGAGTCCATTCTACCATGGTCTCAATTTCCTTTATTTATTTTTAAATGCATAGGTTGTCTTACTGTTTATCTATGTGCCCAAGGCAAATTTATGTACATGGCCCGGAAAAAATAATAATCCAGTAAATCTCAACGGAAGAATTCATTGGAACTGCTGTAATTTTGAGACTAATACTAAAAGTCTAGCTTCTCTAATTCAGTATTTAATTTTAGCATTGGTTTCATGGTCTTCAACAATTATTTGTACTTTTTAGTGCTTCCTTGCATCGTAAATGTTAATTAGGAAGAATGTTAATTTTTTTCCTCCTTTTTAAAAGCCTTGGAAGCCAGCATACGTCTTGATGCATCATGAGATGCTTTGGATGCGGTTGAAATTTTTTTTCAAAGTAAATGGTTTGCATGAAGAGCAATGTTTAACTAAAATCCTAGTACTGGAGAAGCTAAATCATCACAAGCTGCCAAATCAATCAATCAAGCTGCCAAACAATCAATCAACCAACCAATCAACTGTGCTTGCGCATCTTAATAAGCCATGGTTTGTTGTTTAAACCACAATTTGCACGGAAGGTGACAAAACGCCCACTAATTCCCTGTAAACTTCTCTTCACCAACTCTGGGGTTTTTTTGGGGGGGGGTTGTTTTCTTTCTTTATTTTCTTATTTCCCCTTTTACAAACAAACCACAGTTGGGGGTTTGAATGTCACAGCAAGCCATGATTTAAATAAGCCACAGTCCTTAAGCAAAGAACAAACAAGGGATTCAGTTTATAACACTGGCTGCTTAATCAACTATGTGTGGTTAAACATGGGTTGGTTTGCACATCACAACAAACCATGTTTCAACAAACCACAGTACAGCTTGTCACAAATGCAGTCAGTGTGCAGATACAGCAAACGGATGTCAGAAAACAAATACAAATCTCACCCAGGTACAATTCCAGGTGGACTGGTGTGAAACAGTCTCTGCTCTTGATCAGGGATGGGGGACTGGCGCCCTCCAAAATGTACCAAATCTCCCATCGTCCCTGACCACTACCCATGTTTAGCTGAGGCTGATAGGAGTTGGAATCTAGTACACAGGCTGGAGGTAATAAGCCTGCAAAGAACTGGCACCAAAGCTGCAGAAGGGGACCTTTGTTATTGCCAGCTCCTGTTGTTACCTTTCCCCCCCCCCTTTCACTCAAGGTTTCAATGCTTTATTATTCAGGCTGTAAAGGGATGTCAGAAATTCAGAGAGACTCCTTTATTTAGGCCAACAGCTCAGCACAAATTACAATGAACATCTTCTATTCCTTAGGAGAATGGAACTGTGGGGGCTCAAGGTTGTCTTTTGGAAGAGACCTTGACCAATCAAAGCATAATCATTTGTAAAGAGAGAGGAAGCTGCTGAGAAATCAATCAGGAACTCATTTTAATTTGATCTTTGACCAGAACGTTCACTCCGGCTGAAGGGCACAGCACCTATTTACAAAGCTACAAATATTCCGGCATGATTAAATTATTGTGTTTCAAATTGGCAAAGGCAAAAGGGTTACCCTAGGAAGAGCCGATTCAAAAAACGGCAGGTGTTAAAAGGTTGGAGGTTGGTGGGAGACTCAGTTCCCACAGCCACGGAGCACTGAGCACCTGGAGAGGTCAGTGGCTAAGGTCTCTGGTTGTGGAGCCAGAGGCTGGGAGTTCAAATCCCGACGGGGCCTCCTTGAGAGAGAGACTGGACTGGATCATCCAGAGGCGCCCTTCTAAGGTTCTCTTTCTTGTATTCTCGAAGGCTTTCATGGACGGGATCTAATGGTTGTGGGTTTTTCGGGCTCTTTGGCCATGTTCTGAAGGTTGTTCTTCCTGATGTTTCGCCAGTCTCTGCGGCCGGCATCTTCAGAGGACTGAAGCAGGAACTCTGTCCATGCTCTGTTCCTACTCCAGAGTTCCTACTCCAGTCCTCTGAAGATGCCAGCCACAGAGACTGGCGAAACATCAGGAAAAACAACCTTCAGAACACGGCCAAAGAGCCCGAAAAATCTATAACAACCTTTCTCTTTCTTCTTCACTTCTTAGACTGGGGCTGTCTGCAGAAAATTCTGCCAAATGGAATAAGGGGCCATCATGCTGTTTCTGTTTCTTTTCAAAAACCCAGAGAGCTGCTGCCAGCCCGTGTGGGCAACATTAGCCTAGATGGGCTGAGAGGCAGCCTCAGCACGGGACAGCCTCTTCTGTCTGGGGAATTCTGGGAAGCTTAGTCAGAAAAATATCTTTCCTAAAGTCTGGCTGGGGTAGATATTTCAGGTGCACGCCAAGCGAATCCTGCTCAGTTGGCACCTCCTTGTGAGTAACTGGACAAAGGCGATTCCCCCTTGTCTAATTAACTTGCAGTTTGGCTGCTTTGCTGATTCCCTCTGAGAGCATCTTGGGTTGATGGTGGTGGTGGTGAACACCTTCTTCCAGCTCTTGACCAGGTTTGGTTACAGACCCTACAGACTTCCACCCTGTCCCTTCTTCTCATGAACCTTGGGGAGCACTGCTGCTGGGAAGCGACCGATGGAAACCGAAAAACAACATCCAGGTCCTCCCAAGGAGACAAGCACGGAGATGGGCAGGAACTGGCCGTTGGATGGTTCGCGCCAGTTTGTTCATCAGCAGGCGCTGCCCCTGAAGTCGGCGTCTGCTGGAGGAGGCAGGGCAGGGAAGTGAACCAGCATGAACCTCCGAACCAACACAAACCACCAAATCAGTGGTCTGTGCCCATATCTAGACAAGGACCCTCCGATGCTGGAAACCAGGTCACGTAGCCTTAAGCCAGAACCACGAGTAACAACGACAGGAATTAACCCAGGACATCAGGTGGGGGGGGGAGAGAAAAGGAGCAGCAAACCAGCCCCTGAAGGAAAGCTCTGTCAGTTATGCAACCGTTACACAACCAATTAGGGAGCCCGGGCGGGGGAGGGGAAGGGAAGGCCAAGATAACGAAGGCACACAAGCTGTCCAGAAGCATGATTTTTACAACGATTTGACCAAAGCTTGATGGGCGAAGTGGCTGACGGAAGGAACGCGAGAGGAAGAATCGGCGCACGGCGGCTGAACGAGCGAGCCTGTTCCTTCGACCTCCTGTGCAAACCTTCTGCTCAGGGGATGATGTTCGCATAACCCATAATCCCCTATTTCCCACTTCTGCCCCTCCTCCCCAACAGCTCCTTCTGTAGGGGATGTAGGTTTAGCCTGAAGAAATCTCTCTCTCTCTCTCTCTCTGTGTCAGATTTGGTTACAGCCTGGGAAAGTTATCTTTTGGACTACAATCCCCAGCATGGCTGCTGGACGTTGGGATTTGTAGTCCCAGAAAAGCAGTTTCTTCTCAAGCTCCTTTGGCTCTGCTCACATGTTCTCTTGGCCACAGGGACCAGTTTTCTCAGCAAGAATCCCCGGATTTGCTTTTGACAAACCCCACCCCATCTCTCCCCAGAACACACCCCGAAAACGACTGGGCTAGAACCGTCCTGGAAACGGCCAGCCTGAGACGGCGAGGTTCCGGACCAACTTACTCGAGAAACCCCGGCTTGTGCTTGTGCTCGACGTGAGGCCCAAACTGGATCTGCGCTTGGAAACCTCCGAATTCACACGCCTTCTCAAAGGAGACGGGATGGGAACCGTTCAGAATATCGTCCCGGGCCTGGAAAGACAGAGAGAGGCCGGATCGTAACCAAGAACCCATTGGAAGGGGGATCCAACATGCCACCCTTTCTTGGCGCCTTCACACGTGACTTTGGAGACTCGGGATGTTTTGCTTAATTTAGAATTTCAAAAACCAGAGATTGCAAAGTTGCTTGTTTTGGGCCACTACTCCTAGAATCGGTGACCCAACCGGCTAAGGCCTTTTGAGGAAGAATAGTTCCTAAACCGTCACTTAAATACAGATGTTCCTTCACTACACGATGGCATGACTCTACTAAAGCAACTGAAATCTCCAACCGCACACACGCGCGAGAAAAACAAGTTATTTTCCTGATTTCTAGGTCCACGTCTTTTTCTGCCCTCTTATACAATCCACTGCAGAGTAACTACTTGTTATCATCTGTGAAGATGAGGAGGCTCAACATTCTGGTCCTTCCTGGTGAGGAAATTCCAGGCATTCCTTTCCGAGTATGGCCTTTTGCACAAAATTGCCAGCTTTTGTTTTTTCGAGTAATCCACCACTTTCTAAATTTGATTCACAACTCAGGTGAATCACTCCAAAATAAGCAGCAGTGCAGATTTGTTTAAGAACTTGGAAGTAAGAAATTTCACCAGGCCTTAACATTCCCTATCAAATTATCTCATCCTGTCGGGATTATTTTTTTCACCCTCGCCATGCCCTGATGGGGAAACGGCAGGAGCTCAAGGCTAGAGCATCTTTTTCTGCACAGAACTTATCTCCAGGTCGACCGCCCGGTGCCTCCGTGATTAAAACAAACAAACAAAAAATGAAACGCAAAAAAACCATGGAAAGTAAGAGAAGGAGGCATGAAAAACTTGTTCTAGAGGTTTGGCTGCCCGTCAGAGCAGGAAATACTGGCTCAGCACAGAAACCATCCGACCGGTCAAAGAGAGTTTCCTTCATCTCTCATTATGGGAACATTCTCTTGCACAAGATGCCTAGATAGACTGAAGAAAAGAACTGAGGTGGTCCCTTCACACTTATTGGTCCTTCTAAGGATGCTGCTGAACGTGCGTCATGAGTGCCTTGCAGCTCAAAGGCTCCCCACGTTCCTGAAGGTGGGGATGTCCGCATCATGAAAGAACCCAGGGCAGCTGCTCAGAAGATAGCATTTTCCTGGAAGGAAGATTTCTTCACTCAAGAGTTTTGCGTACCTGGACATACAACAGGTTGAGCTGGACGGGGTCTCTCGAATCGACATTCTGGTCCGAATAGAAGAACTTGCGCCTGAGCAGCAGCGTCTCGTTCTCGTCCACTCCTTGCTCCCGAAACGTCCGACTGTGATCTAGCCAGTTTACTAAAAGGAAGAAGGAAACAAGGCCCATCAGCCCCGCTGCGCTTTCCTCTCTCTGCTACCCTCTGCGAATACAAAGAGTCGCGCATTCCGGCTGTGAAAGTCCAACCTCCATTACAGGGACCTGCAAGAGAACCGCCGAGCGCCCCTTCCCTTCAAAGCACAGACTCCACGCTGGTGTTGGTGTGTGTCCGTTACAGATACGGCTGGACTACAACACCCATCAGTCTTAACCATCACAGTTCATGGTGAGGAATGAGAGCATTGGCCGCACGTGTAGAGGCAGCGAGGAAGGGAAGCCAAAGCAGCTCCTTCTGGCCTAGGTGGACAAGCCTTCTGTTCTGGCATAACACCGTTCTCCATCTTCCTTAAAGCAGTTTAATTTAGGATTGCAAGGAACGGGCAGCCTTCCCCCCAACCTTTGCAGAACAAGGGGCACTGCTTGGATTTGGCCGCTACAACAGAGGAACAGCGGCCCCCTAATAGGGCTTAATTTTCTGAAGCCCCCCCCCCGCCTCTTGTTGGGTTTTTTGTTCCTTTGCTAGGTCCCGATTTGGAATGGAAGAACAGCCTTCCAACCTGCATGGGAGGTGAGGCCAGGATCAGGCCTAATGGGAAAAAAAAACACCAAAACATGGTGAAAACCCTAACCCTCTGCCACGTTTTGGGCACCGGGAACCTTCCCCGTGGATGGCGGCTGAAGTGACCGAAGAAGGGAAGGATGGTTTCCCCTTCGTTTGCAAACATGATTGATATTTTATACAGCAGAGCTCAACGGAGAGAAACCGCACAGCGACGTGGATTTCCAAACGTCCAAGGTAAACGAGATTAAGAGAGAGAAAGAGAATAATAACAACTTCAGATCTAAATAGAATTCCTTTAACTATTAAGGCAAGCAGCAACCCGAGGCTATTTTTGGGGGTGGGGGAGGAACATGGTGGTGATGGGGTTAGAAAGAAGACATGTAGCAGTTGCCTAGCAACACCTCCCCCCATTGTTTCAGTCTCAGGTCCAAAGTTTCACATCCCCGTACTCTGCACATTTAATTAAATCAAGGGGAACGGCTGGTTCCAAGCCTCCACACTCAATGAACAGGATGAGTGCGTTTCTATAGGCGTGCCTTCGGTACGAGAGGGGAAATCCACCCCCACTTGCTTTTAAAAAATCTCTGTCCGTCCACCCCGCTTGTTTGCAATGGAGATGAGCAGCTGGAAAGAGGAATGGATTCGGGTTCAGCGAATTTGGGTAGACAGACGTCCCTGTTGACGAACGTGCCCTAAAATGTGCATGGCGCTCAGAGATAGGTCTCTGCGCCCCAGGTGTTTGCAAGACACCACAGAGGAAGGGAGAAGGGGAAGGGGTTAAATCAGGAGAAGCAGCGGCATGTAGGATGGGTCACATCACAGAGGCCAGGAGCCCGTCCCAAAAAAAAGATGGGTTTTGAAGAGAGTTTCGAAAAAGTTTTTTTAAAAAAAACAAACGAAAAAATCCCCAAATGCCCCATGGCTGCTTGCAACGGAAACGTCTTCTCTGCCTGTTTGTGCAAGCCGGCAATGATGAACGCACGGAGCGTGACACTAGGAGCAGCGACATCTTGGGGGGTGGGGTGGGGGAATAATGGACCGGAAGCTCACTTACTCTTATGGCTGATCAGGCAATACATTAGAACAGCCACTTGCTCTGAAACGGAGGTGTGCACATCCCTTGGGAAGTCTCTCCCCTGATTTATTTTAACATATAAAATTGGCCTGGACCGGGGCTTGTCTGTGGAGGCCCCTCAACTCAGGAAAGCACCCCCGTCAAGACCCCCGGCTCACAACGACGTGCTTTTCCAGCCAAACGATGAACACCACTGCCTTCACCCCCATTCTGTTCTCTGCGTTTCAAATATATATTTGAAAATCCTTTGACTGGTATTATTTCCCCTAGATTTTATGTTGGGGCTGTTTTCAAAAATGGTCTTTGGTGCCATTTTTTTTTTCTACTCGCTATCTTGATGGTTTATAGGGTCTTAACTGTCTTTCCTGAAAGGCGCAGAGAGAGAGATTTCTGTGTGTTTAGAAGCCGCAAAGCAGAAGAAAAAAAAGGGGGAAAAAAGAAACTGGTTTCCCCTCGCAGGAGGTGAGACTCACAGTCATCATCTGTGTGCAGCTTCGCTTTCAGCTTCTCCATTTTCTTCTCGTCCCGTAATAGCGTGCGGTCCTTCTTCAGCGTCCCTGTGCTCTCCTCTTTTTTCTCTTCGTTGCTTTCTTGGATTAAAGAGTACTCTTCGTAATTGGTTATTCCTAGAACAGCAAGCAGGATGTAAACCTAAGGAGCAGAAACTGGTGGGGGAGAGAAAGACACCAAGACACACACATACCAGAGGATGAACCAAAAACCTACCGAACACACAGACACGCACTATGTGGCATGCTTTAGCTCTGCTCATTAGCCTGCAATCGTGCTTATATCTGATCTGATCAGCCCATCGGTTCACAGATCGGAGATGAAAATAAAGAGCACAATGCCCCCTTCAATGCTCTGCAGTGCCCTTGAGTGTTATTCATCATCCTTCGTATGTGACAGACGTGGGCAGCTTCCCAAGAAGCTGGGGGCTACACATGCACTCAGGACTGTGAAGAAGGGTACCCACTTTACCAAAAAAATACACATTGTGGCCTCTAGGACGTGGGTGGGCCCTATTTCGGTACACCCTTGGCAGTCTATATGGGTGAAATATCTTCAAAACCAAAATCCTCACAAATCACTCCCATTTGCAGAAAAAACAAGTTCTCCGGGCCTTAAGCGAGCTGGTAGGGGAAACTGCCCTCTTCGCCTTCTAGGGGGTGTCTCACAGCATGTTAACCTTTTAAAATTCTTTTTAAATTTGGGAAGGTGTCAGGGGTGCAGGGGGAACTGGGTCCAGGGGGAACTCGGCCAGGCGGTCACCCTTCGTCTCCCCTCGAGGTTACGAGCCCAAAATGAGACCCCGTTGCTTTTAAGCCATTTCTGCACGGTACCTATCCGGCTGCAAATGGTGACCAGCAGTTCCCCGACTGTTTTCGAGTCGTCCACCATCACGGTCTTCACGGAGCCGTCCAGCATCCGTATTTTCTGCGGCCTCTGCTTCTTCTTGTATTCCAAAATGTCCTAGAAAGTCGGTCATAGAGATATTGTATGGCACTGACAGAGGGACAAAGGCCTTTTCTTAAAAAGGAAATGAATTTCAGGAACCAAATGGGTCTTAGGGGCTGGTCTCCAGGCTTCTGCCTCTCCCCTTTCCTTTGCACCTTTTACTCACAGTGAATATCAACCTGCTGCAGGAATTATTCCTTGAGGGCGGTTCCCTCCTCAGGTCTCACAAGCTTTTGGGACAAACTTTTGAGCAGAGCTGGGACAGACTCATTGGTTCATTTTGAGTCCCTTCCAGAACCCCAGCCTGCTCTAAATAGTAAATTACCGCTCTCTCCCACTTTATAAACATTCACGTCATGCCAACACAGGCAAGACCCTTGAGCTGAGCTTAGGGAAATTGTAGGCTTTTTGGTTTTGGACGACAACTAAACGAAGGTGGGTGGGAGATTCCGGGAATTGCACAGTCCAACCTAGCACCTCTCCGAAGCGCTACTTCTTTATAAACACAAGGCCCTGCAGAAGAGGGCACAGATTTTGGACGTACCCCATTCCGCAGCATGTAGTAATCCAGGGTCCTTCCTGCTTCCAGCCAGATGCCTTTCCGTGGATCTTCATCAGACAGGAACAAGCCATAATCAGAGGCTGAGAAAGAAAGACAGAAAGAGAAGCGACTTCACAGAGCCCGGAACAAATATACAGTACTCTCCATTCCTAAATTCCTATGCCATATGAAGTTTCCTACACAACCACAAAACCATGAAATTTCCTATTCTGATCAGGCAGGCTCCCACTGTTTTCACTAATCTGTTAATGACTTACCTACTCATTTAGGCCATTTTTCTGTTAGTTAACATGACTCCTGCTTTGATGATTTTTTTTAAAATAAACAGACCTTATTGGGAAAGCCGGACAGTAAAGAGAGCTGACAAGGGAGGAAAAAAAAAAGGATTCATTTGAAATGTGTTGATGAAGGAGAGCTTCGCAGATACCCTGGACTGCCAGAAAGAGGAACAAATGGGTCCAAGATCAAATCCACCTTTTTGCTTCTCTCTGGAAGCAAAAAAAAAAAGTTGAAATTGAGGGCTATCCTATTTGGGGCACATGACGAGAAGGCTCTGGAAGAAACAATAACGCTGGGAAAGGAGGAAGGCCACAGGAAATGAGGAAGACCCAGTATGAGATGGACTGATTCCTAAAGGAGACCACAGGCTGAGCAGGGCTGTGGAGGACAGGGCATTTGGGAGATGGCTCATTTGCAGGGTTACCATAAATCAGCGGTGACTTGACAGTAAATAACGGCAACTGATCCAATTGCTTTACTGCATTCAAACATTTGTCTCATTGCATTATTGCAAACCGCCCTGATTTGCTTTTCAGATGGGAAAGCTGCACCCAACTGCCCTGAGTCAATTAAAGCTAAAAGACATGACCTCGCTTTGACTCCCCTGCTCCCTTCCCTTCTTCCCCTTCTCTGCCCCATGCTTTCTCCTCCTCCGCCTGGCCCTCCCTCCCTTTCTCCTCTCTTTCCTGTAATTGGCTCACTTAATTCAATCCACTTCAAAGTTTGGAAGAATTAATTAGCTGTTTTGGAGAAGATGAGAGAAAGACTTAACAATGTCTACAGAAAACAGGAGAGAGAGACTTTAAAAGGCCATTTTTTATATTGGGGGAGAAGATAAGCAAGAATGTTCAAAGAGTGAAGAATTAGCCATGATAACATCACACTATCCTGGCAGCTGGAACATCCGAAGATCAAGGGGTAGGTAGTCTCCCTTGCTGGAAATGGCCGGCAGGGCAGCAAAGGCCACCGAGCGAAAACAAAACATGAAGGATGACCCATGGGGGGTGGGGGGTTAAGATGCCTGGAGGCCATGGAGACGTGCCCACCAGGGACCGAGAGGGAACAGCAGCCCGGAAGCTCCATCGGCAACCCTTTTAATCACTCAGTGTGCTAATTAATGAAAGCTCTGCTCGAAAGTAATGAAGCAAATAATACCCAGCCATTTAAAGTGAATGCCTCCACTCCATCAGCGTCCATCATCTTAAGCTACCCGTTCACTGCACGTCTGGCTGAGTTCTCCGTTTACAAGACGGGTGGCTGTTGAGTTTTTCCATCTTCATCCATCACCCTGGCATGGCTGGCCTCTGAGTTTAACTCGTTGAGCCCAAGAAATGAATTGCATTTCCGAGAGGTCCGCGAAGGCCCCTCTCTGGTGGAGGGCAGGACAAAAGGGCAGGACGAACTATTCCAAGTGCATTTGAGCTTTGAGCTGTCCTTGCTGGTTACGAAGACGAACAAGAGGCTTCTCAAGTTTTTTAAATGATGGGAAAAGGCTGTCCGTCAAAGCTGGGAGACCCGCCGGACAACCATGGACGAGGTCTAGCTGCAGGACTTGGGCTTCTCTATCCCATCCTAAACCCCAGGGGTCATCCTGAAGTTCGCCCAAACAACAGAAGAATGGGGAGAGGGAGAGGGAGAAAGCAAACCTGAACGATGTCATGCTGGGAGCATGTTCTGCCTTTGCCCCCCCCCCCGCCCGTATGAACAACCTGTATGTCACGGAAGGAGTCCCAGGCAGAAGTCCACACACTCAATTACCAAGGTGGGCGGGTGGAGGGTAATGCTGGGAAGAACTGGGTGGGTTACGAATACAGATTTGCACGAACCACCGGTTCGATGGTTCGACGTGGTTCGTTTCCAGCCTGAACAGCTGACCCGTGGTTCAGCACCCTGCCCCTCCAGCGGGCACCCACTCGGAGATCACACCCAGAGGAGGCGGGGCCGGGTGCTGCCACCAAGTGGGTGCCCTTCAGAGAGGGGGGAGTGCTGAACAGCTCTTCGGCTGGGAAACTGACCGCACCGAACTGCTGAACTGGCAATTTGCACCCATCTCTAGTTAGCGTGAAAAGCTGAACACCCTTTTGGCATGCATGCGAGTTTAATTAAAACTTTTTTTGAAGGTGGAAAGGAGGCATTTTTGCATCTTCCAAAGCCCACTGCCTCTGTCTTTTGAGTGGAGCTGTATGGCAGATATCTCTGACTCATTTACTCCCAAAAGCATCGTTGAAGGCAGGAGGTCTCGGAGAAGTCAAGATGGACTGAACTGGCCCCATCCAGTAGGAGTCTGTGGGGAGCAGGATCTTTCAGGAGGCCAGGCCTTCTTCTCTTCCTCCACAAAGTGCTTCCCATCAGGATTCACCCCTGCTGTTTCCTCCTCCCCACCACCCCCACTCTCCTCAGCAGGCACACCGTACATGCTCAGAGGTGGAGAGAGAAGTCTAGGCTTCGTTCTTTCCTTTGCTCTCGCCCGCCGTCCGTCTGAAGGCTTGAGCAGAGATGACCGGCGCAGGCTTGCGCTCTTCCTCTACCCGAACGCGCAGGGATTCTACAAAAAAAGAACCCACGCCCGGAGGCCTGGAGGAGGGCCCAGCCGAGCTGCGCGTCCCTCCTGCCGCCAACTCACCTTGCCCGGTTTGAGCCTCTGGGACCCGTTCGCGGATCACGCGGCAGGCGTCGTAGACCGCCGTCGAGGGCTCAAACTGCATAGTCTTGACCACATTGCAGTGGCGGACGCAGATCTTGAGTGACAAGGCAACCATCTTGAGGGATCCCTGGTACGTGTCTTGTCTACATCACCTGAAGAAGCAGAAACAAAGCAAAAGCATGGTGGGACGGCTTCCTGGAAAGCCCCCGTCCTTGGAAATTATGGGCTCGTGATCTTTTTACCCACTGATGTTCTTCGGGTTTGGAACAGCACCCGGCCTCACACGGTCGGGACACAGCCCAGCAGCTTTACGCCTGGTCAGATAGCTTTTGTACCTCTCTGGCCCTGTTGGGCCCGCTCTGAGTGGCAGCAGAGAATGCCTTTACCTCACACAAACCTCACTTAACCCAAGCGACCCACGGATGGAGTCTGGGACTGCGATTCGCAAACCCAGTTCACGGAACAGCGGTCGTTCTTTTCGCCGCAGGTTGTGGTAAAAAGCGTGAAACCCTGTGCCTAGCCGTCCAGGGAGGGATCCAGACCTGCTCTAAATAAAGGGAACCAAGGGTCAAGGTGGCCTTCAATTTCATTCTGAAATCTGCACAACAACAGCAGAAGCACCGCACAAGGGCCCGTCAGGCATGGTCAAACTGCTCATGTGTCATCCAGGTGGATCGGGGCCTTCCTCCTGCTCCTTGCACCTCAAAAGGAAGCAAAGGGGGGTGTTCTGGCCCTCCGAGGGGGAAACGCAGCTCAGGCCCACCTCTCTCAACCCACACACTCCAGGGTGTAATTGACTACAACTCCCATCTTCCCAGCCCAGTACAAACAGCAGCTTAAGTGGCTGAGACTGATGGAAACTGAAGTCCTCACAGATCTCCAAGATGCTGGATTCGGCCATTCTGGCCTAAAGACAAGTCACACGACGGGAACAGAACTTGTGAAAATCAGGTCAACCATAGAAGACTGTCTTGTTTCATAAGCGTAAACTAGAAAACCAAAAACCACCACCTTCAACCAGAGGAGTCCGGGAGGTGCAGCACATTTTTGAAAGACTGAGACAGTATTTCACAAATATGATCTCTCTCTCTCTCTCTCTCTCTCTCTCTCTCTCTCTTTCGGACACAGAGAGAGGCACCTCGACATGCCCAGCCCCTGGCAGAAGGGCGCTCCGTGTAGAAACGAGGAAAGCAACAGACGAGCTGCGGGAACAGAATGAGCATTCAACCCTTTCCTAAAGCTCAGCAAAGGTGTGTCTCATAGCGAACGGAGAAACATACGAAACGCCTGGCGGCTTCAGCCTACATTTACCTCCCTGCAGAGGACCATAAATATTTATTGCACCTGTTAAATAAATGCAACATAATTCCTCCAAGTGGCTGAAGTTGGCATCCAAAGGAGAGGGCTGTGAGGTGCCTTGTTAAAACCCTGCAAGTTAGGTTAGTCGAAGCGAGATAAATTAATGAGTCTGGAAAAAGCAGCAGGCTCCCCTCTGTCCCGTTGAGCCTTCAAGGGAACCTGGCTCCTTCAGGGGCTTTGGAAATAATTGGGGGGCCTGGCCCAGAGTTACCGGCTACGGTGGCGCAGAATTTTGAGCCTGGATCGAAGGCCAGACAAATCTCGATTCCATTTTAATTTCTCTTTGCATTCTACCTTTCCATTGGGAGGCACTTGGACTGGTTTGCAAACCGAAAGTTAACCATTTCCATAAAGTTTCTGCAATAAAGCCAAAAGGCAAAGCATTAAAGAAGATGGAAGGATAATCATCTCCTTCTACCTACCCAGCGTAGGCGTACACACAAAACACAGCACCCACCAAAACATGCTCTACATGGGGGTGTCTTTGGACAGTGCTCAGAAACTCCAATGGGTCCAAAATGCCGCCACCAGATTGTTAACTGGGGCTGCTTACAGGGAACGTATAACTCCCCTGTTGCAGTAGCTCCGCTGGCTGCCGATCCATTTCTGGGCACAATTCAAAGGGCTGGTTTTAACCTCTAAAGACCTGAACGGCTTGAATCCAAGCTATCTCACGGACCACATCTTCCTTTATCAACTCAGTCCCACCACCTTCACAGGTGCATTTGGTGGGGACACAGGAGAGGGCCTTCTCTGTCAATGTTCTCAGACTTTGGAACTCCCTGCCACCGTACTCTAGTCAGGCCCCATCCTTCCACAAGCACGCAAGAGCCTTTCTCTTCAGGCAAGCTTTCCCTCAGTGACTTGATACCTGAGTGGGTTTTTTAAGTGGATGACTGTATTTTTCTGCTTTGAATGTGATTTCAGTATTGATTTTATTTACCCTTTGTAATATAATACTTGTTTACTTCTTTTAAAATATTTGTATACTGGTTGTTTTTAGCTTTTAAATATTGTCTTTTAATGATGCTCACATGATGGAAGCAACGGTAATGATAATGGCAAGCTGGTTGCCAGTAAGGAATGAAATGTGTAATGAGTTCCTTCTCAAATGTAACATTCAATGGCCTTTCTTTCGCTCTCTTTTTTCAAACCCTCCAAGTACCTTGTGCTTGAGTCCAGGGACTGAAAACAGACCCCGCCATAGACAAGAGCGAAGTCCCTGGGGGGGACGGGTAGCATTACACAGAAGGCTAGCAAATGAAGCACACCTGAGACGGCCAGAATTTGAAGGCATAAGGTTTGATGCTGGTGGCAAGCCACCTAGGAGAACACCAGCAGAAGATATGTGCCAGTACAGTGGTACCTCGCAAGACAAACACCTCACCAGACAAAAAATTCACAAGATGAAAGCGTTTTGCGGTCGTGTTGGTGACTTGCAAGACGGCTACTTCTATGGCCGTGCTTTGCAAGACGATTTTTCCCCACAAGACCGATGCCTCGCAAGACGAAAATAATTCATTCGTCTTGCGAGGTTTCCCATAGGAATGCATTGCAATGCATTCCTATGGGAAACCACTTTTCACAAGATGAAAATTTCACAAGACAGCGCTATTCGCGGAACAAATTACCTTTGTCTTGCAAGGCACCACTGTATCTCCCTTCTGAATTGGAGAATGGTCAGGCCCGCCTTATGAAAACCATCAAGTGTGAAATGGAGGTTCCCACCCAGTCAATGTAAGTTTGGCTGAATCTTGAGTTCTCCCAAAGTGACGTCCAGCGGAGAGGAATGCTGGCAGGAACCACCTTTGTAAGAAAAACAAGCCCTCTCCCCCCATTCCCCGGCCAGCTGTTTGGTCCTCTTAGATTTCTGTCTCTTCCCAGCTCAGCAAGTTTGGAGAGGAAGTCCGGCAGGAAACCGAGGGGGTCCCGTCTTCAGCCTCCTCCGATGAGTCAGGAATTTGCGCTGCCAGAAAACCCGACAGAGCTGAGCGTGCAAAGCGAGCAAAAGTTCAACGTTAGGTTTCCAGATTCACCAAGGCCCGCTTCCTCATTGCGGACTTCCAGGGGGGTGCAGGGGGGGGGATCTGTCAGTCAATGAAAGAGCTGTTTCCCCGACTGGTGAGCTCATCGGGGTTGGGTGCCAACGGGACCCCGGCCAAAATGGGGCCACTCTATGAAATCAGAGGGAAGGTAACACCGGGGCCTGGGGGAACCCAACCATAGGCAAAAGGACAATACTTTAATTATTTTTAAAAAAGGTCCCCCAAAGAGGGCGAACATGATCAAGAACAATCCAATGGAGGATAGTGGAGAAGGCTGGACATCAATCAGAAAACTGTAACGGGGAACTGGAGCTGTGAATGAAACAGATGGCCTGGCTTGAACCTTTACAGACGTGGTCTCTGTAGCCATGAAAGAGACAGGAATCCTCCCTTTCCAAGCAAAGCAAAAGCAAAACCAGAGCAAAGGAAAGGAAAGCAAAAGTCAAGTGTATTGCTTATGTACTGCCCCATAGTGCTCAAAGTATTCTTTGGGTAGTTTACAATTTAATTATTCAGGCTATACACACCCCACCCACTAGGAAGCTGGGTACTCAATTTACCAACCTCAGAAGGATGGAAGGCTAACAGTGAACCTCAAGTGGGTTACTGGGGATTGAACCCAGGTTGTGCACAGAGTTTTGGCTGCAGTACTACAGGTTAACTGCTTTCCGTCCCACACTGTGCTTGTGTTTTGGGGATTTCTACTACATTTCTCCCCCCTCCCCTTTTATGGAACTGTCTGTCTCCTGCAGCCAGGCTCCATGCAACTGGAGAAGTCGGGTGCAGTCTGACGAATAAAATTAAGGTACATCTCCCATTTCACATCTCCCGGTCCTCTTCAGCAGGGTTTGCAAAGAGGAAAGTGCTGATGGGGTCGCTCCCTGTGCTCTGAACATTCAAAAACGGAATGCTTTGTGTTTTAATCTGCTCCATGTTGGGTCACAGAAGTTGAACTGCTCTGTAATCAGACCCATCTTAGGAGAACTGCCATGCGGAGCAGATCATTATCGTTAACTTGATGAATGATTCTAAGGAGCATTCAGAAAGAAAGAAAGAAAGAAAGAAAGAAAGAAAGAAAGAAAGAAAGAAAGAAAGAAAGAAAGAAAGAAAGAAAGAACTCACTTGGCTATTCATAAGGGAGTGGGCTGTGATCATCCAATCCTAGCTTTTCAGGCTATTATTTCATACCTAGGTCTGCTCAACATATTCCTATAGCAACATGTGTTGCATCTCTTGAATAAGCACCCTCTTTTTCACAATCAGGGACGTTTGCTTCACTACCAGAGAGGCCCTTTTGAGGACCCACTAGAGATGATGCGAAGGTCAAAAGTACTCTTGGACTGCTGCTGTTACTTTTGCTCAATCCTAGCTCATCATGAAGAGGCAAAGCACCCCTAATATATGAACACACAAGCTCAACGTGTTCCTGCAAAAAGGAAAAAAAGGGGTGGGGGCAGAGCTGCCATAAATCTCACAGGTATCATCCCCCCCCTCCATTTTCCGAACCATTTTCTCCTAGGAGGCTAACTTCAGAAAACAATGTACATCTGAAAACCCTTTATGGTGCAATCTTACCCAGGTCTGCTCTCAAGCAAGGCCCGCTCAGCGAAATGGGGCTTCCTCCCAAGAACGTAGGCAGACAACGCCCCAAATGGTCCTGGGTTCGCAGGTCCCTTTTGGTTCATTCTACTGTGTGAAGAGGTAGACCAGTGGTTCCCAACCTCGGGCCCCCAGATGTTCTTGGACTA